TAGCCGAGAGTCACGTATGGCGTGACGATGCTATAAAAACCTTCAGTCACGCCACATGTGACCAACGCTGCTGATACTATCATCAATATTCATTCAGGTCTAGATATTTAGTACAACTAGAAGAAAAGTTATACGACGTTTTAGGTAGTACTAGAATGGAACTATATTTAGCGCAAGAAAGTTTTAAAAAGTGGCACTTAATTCTTTAACGACCGAATTCTTATTCATCTGCGTCTCGAAGTTGAGCTATTCCATGCAAATAGTTTATTGAACTACGTCAAAATTTGTAAAAAAGAATAGAAAATATTACTGTTGAAAAATAGTATATTACAAACTCCAGGTTTACAGCTTTCACAGTGTCATTTTCAAATTTCCAGTTTCCATATGAATCTTCTGATGAAAAATTGCAACTTAACCCTTTCGTGACCATTGGAATGTATATCGAGTAGTGAAACAAAAGTTGACCTGAATTCAGTGTCTACTACAGTTTCGATGATAGACAGATGAATAAAAAATTAGAGAAAAAAGTAAATTAGTCACAAAGGTGTTGAATTTCTTTTTAAAAAAATTTTTGCTGCAAAAGAACAGTAATATCTAGTAAACCTACTCTTCCATTTTCAATTCAACATTTTCTAGTATTTCTAAACACATTTAACAATACCAAACGAAAATATCACACGGTGCTAATCTATTTCCAAGAAGCTGATTCGTCTTTCGTCGAAACGGTGAGCGACGGTGCAACCCTCTGCGCCATTCCTCTTGGCAGAGAATCAGAGAGGAGAACGAGCACGATCTCAAAGACTTTCTCGGAAGATCGAGGTCGGGAAGGGTGGTTGGAGTTTCCCCCCAGCGAGCTCGCAGAATATTTTCGTTGCCCTTGTTCGCAGTAGCCGGTGCTCGCCAGAGCAAAGAATAAATAACTCCGTGGCTGCTTAATGGATCGTAAAAGCGTCGCAAATTTCGCAGCCGTAGAGAAAAAGAGCAAACGGGAGAGGGAGAGAGAGAGAGTAGGGGCCAGTTTCGAGGGCAATTTCCAAGCATAATTCACACCTGGTCCAATAAGCATCATCCACGGACTACCGAGTTGAATTCGATCGGTCGACGCGCCTCGTAAAATCCTCCCCTCGTTGGTTAATCAAGATCTTCGCTCGTGAGCTCTGACGAAAAGTGATAAAACTTTCATTTCTGCGCCGTAAATGGCCTCACCTTGAAACACTGACTCTCCTGCACGCCGATAACTTTTACGCGGCGATTTCGTTTATCGCCAAAGCTGCCTGCACACGCTCCTCTACGTCACAGTTTACAGTTCAAGTGCTCTGTTAAATCGAGGCTGATGCGTCCGTCGTATTTCTGACCTGGTTCCTCCTGGAAAATAATGGATTTCAAGGGTGGATCATTTTTCCGGCAGACGTTGCGAGAGAACAGTTTTCGTGTTGAATTCTGTGAAGGATTTGGAATTGTGAGAAGACTCGAGTAATGTCATTTGAGAACATTCCAGAAATGTGTTGAAAATGATGGTTGTGATTGGACGTTGACTGAAATTATCACATTGAATTGACTCTGAACTAATTATATACTGACTCACGAGGAACGAGGAACTGTCACGTTGAATTGACTCTGAAATAATTTTCTGCTAACTCACGAGGAATGTGTAGCCTTCCACATAACACCTGAGTTACCAATTATGAATGTTTCACATTCCCTGGAAACATCACATTGATTTGAATTGTCACATCGAATTGACTCAACCAATTCGCTACTAACTCACGAGGAATGTATAGCCTTCCTCGCAACAGCTGAATTACTACAGTAGTGCAGACATAAGCGTCCGCAGTCAGGACCGAATTCAGTGGGGAGGTGACTTCTGCGAATTTAATTAAACAAAAGAGAGATGTGTCTGCGTGGGATACCGATGTATCAAGTGTAAGTTGTTCACATTCAGGAGTCGATATCGAATTACTTTGTTTCACTCGGCACGCTCGAACTCCACTCCGAGGTCCCATTTCGAAGAATTGGAGGGGAATAGCGACGGACGCTTATGTGTGCACTACTGCAATTATGAATGTTTCACATTCCTTGGGAAGCTTACACCAGTCAAACTCAACAAGTGCAGAAATGATGGTCATGGCTAGACTTAACTGTCACATTGAATTGACTCGACTAACTCACGAGGAATGAGGTTGTGTAACCTTTCTCGCAACTGTCTTACCAATCATGAAGATTTCGCATTTTCTGAGAACCTCAAGCCTGTCAAACTCAACCAACACGAAAAGCCGAATAAACCTCCCGGCGATCTTGGTGACAAAACGGTTACATAGTATCGCCCGATCCTGTAAATCTCAAAGGAACAACACCTTAAGTACACCCTTCGACGAGAAATTACCGAACAAACGAAAAAAGTCTATTGTATCACCGCGTGTTACTAGGAAAAGCATTCATATTCGTGGAAATACTTCTGTGAAACTGAACGCGTCTGCAACGCGTCGGGAACGTTTACGGACAATTTGAAGGGTTAGCAAATTAAAATTCTCGCGTTCACACCTTCGACGTGGTTCGCGGAATCGTCGAACGCTTTACGCGCAATTACATCTTAAGTGGCTTTCTCGTCGATGTTCGCCCTCGGAGTTTCTTTTGCCTCCTCATCTTTCGGCTTCATTGCTATGCATGGAACACGGCGCAAGGATCGCAGGAGGACGACCAGGGTAATTGATTCCTGTCCGAACGGGATATTTACATACGCTAATGGCGTGCTTTCGACTTATTTGGATCTCGTACTCGCCACGTTTCTTCTCGTATCGGCTCTTCGATGCGTTTTCGAATTTCTTGCCTTCTCGTGGAGAGTTACGGAGGAATTGTCTCGGAATGAGTAATCTCTCGCGAAGGCTGTGCACGATGAATAATCGCGCCACGTCGATAACCTTGCGAGCAAACATTTTTAATTGCCATTGACACGAGCTTAATGTAGACGTCGCCGTACAGATAGGTGGGTGATTATTTGGGAGCTGGCCGAGAGGATGGAAATTTCAGGTAGCGATATCGGGAGTGAATAAATTTAGCCCGCGCTCGAATCTGCTGATGAAGTTTTCAATCGACCGCGGAGAAGGTCAGAGGTTTTTCAGTTGAGACGTTTCGGTTTTAACGGAGATGTTAAGGCGGAATTTTTAGTTATTATAAATTTACGTAATTTACATAATTTGACGTATGTGACGTATGCAGATTTTTATCTAAATCGTTCGTCACACCAAACTGTAATGAGGTATACAGGGGTATATAAAAATTGTGTGCAGTATAATTTTCGAAAATGGAACTTTCATAAAATGAGAATGGATGTTATTAGACACAATGCTCGTGAGAAATATCTGCACAGAAAAATTAAAGCGAAATTGGCAAATTCGATTTTTCGAAATTTTTCCAATTCTGATTAGATATTTAATTTCTCAGGATTATTTTCGAAAATGGAACTTTCATGAAGCGAGAATGGATATTCTTGGACACGATGCTCACAAAAAATATTACCTACAGAGGAAAATGAATGTGTCGAAACTTGAAGCCAAATTAATTAACCAAATTTTTCCAATTTCGGTACCCATAATTTTTCACAAACAAAATAAATTTAATAAATTCCTTTTTCAACCTAGCCAGTCACTTCACTGATAATTCAAAATTTCCAAACACCTCTTCAACTTAATCTCACATTTCCAATTTCAGCATCCCTAATCACCCCCAAACAAAATAAACTCAACAAACTCCGTCTGGCCAATCGAGTCACTTTGGCAAGCCTACCAAACGTCTCATAATTCTCCCATTCAAAACTTCAACGCACCTCTTCCCAACCCGAAATTCCTCCGAATCCTCTAATTCCCCTCGACACGGATCACGTTAACTCCCAAAGATCACAATACTCAAACGTCCCCCGCCCACGTTGCCAGACTCGATTCCACCCCCGCGATTCGCCTCGACGCCAAGAATCCGCCAAATCTAGGAAAAATCGCCGTTCCCAGGCCACGATCTAAATACAAACACGCTCACAGACGGACGTTCTCGGAGCAGCTCATTAGTGACACGAGGGAGAGAGAGAGGGGACGTCGAGCCACAGGCCCCCTGGGCCAACGTCGAAATTCATCACGCGGCTGGTCAGTGTCAGGCGGGAATTCAGCGCCGCTTAGGAAGCCTCTGTGGTGGTGGTGGTGAACGTTGGTGGAAACAGGGGCTCTTATTGTTCGCGGGCGAAACACACGATGGCTTCTCTTCACCCACGTGGCGTTCCTGTGCACGCACGGTTGGCAGCGAAAGACGGCGCGCGACACACGGCCAACAACTGGCCTGGCCGCACGTGTCGCGCTTTTCTAGCGCGGTATTACGCGGTCGGGAGCAAACAACGAAATAAGAGCATCCAGATAGAGTCGGTCGTCGTGTGGTGTACACGTCGTAAATAACTCCGGTTTCACGACCCACACACACGGACACGCGAGCCACTTTCCGCCTCGCCTCCTCTCGTTTCTCTAAGGTGGACCCCGAGACGGTATAATCGTAATAATCGCGGTTGTATACGAAGGATGAAGAGCGCGACTAAGAAGACGTCGTCACGTGTTCCTGTCTCTTGCTTGCTGTAGCTGTCTCTCTCTCTTTGTCTGCCGGTGTTATTAACCCAAATTGGCGTGCTCGTGCTCGCGCAAGCCCTTATCGAGTCCCACGCGAGAACCTCGACGATGCTCGCTTCCACGGGAATTAGACCGATCGCTCGAGGGCTGTAACGAGTCACGTGTTCTTGGCTGAGAGGGACCCACGTTTTAGCGTGCAAGTGGAGGTATTTCGTGGTGGACCGGAGTGCGAGGGAATTTTAGCAGATTAGGTTCGTTCTCGTGATTCTACGGGTTTCTTCTTTTTCACGGAGATTGGTGGATTGAGGCCATTGAAGGGAAAAGGGCACATGAGCTTGTATGACCGTTTGTGTTGACTAGAGTATGTGTTGTATATGTATGTAATATATGAAGGATGTATTACTTCTCTTTTGGATTTAATTGTATTGCTTCTGATTGAGTAACAGGATAGTGAAAAGTTTGGAATCGATTTTCTTGAAATGGCATTTTGGCCTCAATCGAACGCTTCAATTTTAAATGATCGATGTATGCAGGATACTTGGGACTTGGAATCTCTGGAGATACGTAAATAATAACAGTGATCTGTAGATAAATGTTAAAATATTTTGATATTCTATAATTGCAAAAAATATTGAAATTTTACAGGAAGGGTCATTTAAATTTGGGGTTTGAGTACTAGTTTGGTACCTGATTACATAATCTGATTGGCTCTCTTGTGTGAAACTTATTTTTCATGATAAGAATACTATGTCTAGGGAATCTATAAAGAAAAATCAAAATCGACATTCTTTAAGTATGCCAAGCAAGAATATTAAAAGTAGTGATTTCATAATTTTCCTGTTAGTTTGAGTATATCGTTCATTCGTGAAGCATTGTAAAAATATTAGATTTGTAGCTTCCAGAGTATTTGGATTGATAGCAAAAACTCAAATTCATAAATAGATAAATTATCATATTCCGCGTACTGATATCTCGAAGTCAGTCTTCCCAAACGAATCGAGATTCAATGGATTCATACAGGACGATACAAAAGTAACTCAACCCAAAAACTTAAAACTCGAAATTGAAAAACAACGAAAAATTAAAATAAAAAAAAAATGAAGAAAGATATACAAATTTTTATTTTGAATTGCACGACTTTTGTATCGTCCTGTACATTACGCAGCAATAGCCGCGCAATGAAACGTTAAACACAGAATAATCTTTTCATCAATACCTCCATTTCCTCTTCAATAGATTCCAATCAAATCGTAGTCCCACTCGAGCGGTTGAATTCAATGAAATTTCCTTGGAAATTACACGAGCGGCGGTCTACGTACGATCTGAAATTCATCAATGGAACAATGCGTACGCGACGATCACACGGGACCAGAGTTCAGCCACGGTCCGTGTCTCGGTTACGAGCATTTGGAAATATGTAAATACCGGATTACACGCGGCGAGCAAGGTCCCCGAACCAAGTGTCAGACGCGCGAGAGCTTACAGGAACAATGGTCGATCGTGACTGGCGTAGATCGATACGATTTGATGTATGCTCGTGGTGTGCCACGGGCCAACCTATGTAAATGTAGACAACGTTGTAAGTAAGCTTGATCCGTTCTAAGAATAGCGGAACATTGTGTTCGAAGTTGAATCCGAGAAATCTGTCCGTTTCGCAATGGGAAACGACAGATCCTCCGCAGCCTCTCAACGTCTTCTACGTCGAAAAAGAAAAGAATGCACCTTGGAATGTACCTTGAAATGATCAACTAAAGTCGACTGATTCGTGGGAGAAAAATTGACGATCGGATAGAAAATAGAAAAGGAAGAATGACAGTTGAGTAAAATGTGCGAATTGGTAGATTCGCGGCGATAGAAACGATAGATCCTCCGCAGCTTCTCAACATCTTCAACGTCAAAAGGAGAAGAAGAATGTACCTTGGAATGTACCTTGAAATGATCAATTAAATTCGACAGATTCGTGGGGGAAATATTGACGATCGGATGAAAACTAGAAAAAATAAGAGCGACACTTGAGTAAAATGTACGAATTGGTGGATTCGCGGCGCTAGACTGCTGACAACGTCTCGAAAACTTGCCAGCCCCGGTCGTTCCTCGAAATAAACATCGTTCACTTCCGAAGAGCGAAGAAATTCGAGCCGCTTAGGTATTCCGTTTGATTATTCAGCGTCTGGCAGCCGTTAGCAGACGCTTCGTCATATTAACATTCTCGAAATACAAAACCGCCATTCAGAGAAGGGAAACATCGATAGACCGGCTGCGTATTGCGCATGCATCGAATATCGGAATCGTGCAAAGCAGGCTCTCGTTGGTTACTTTCGAAACGGACAAGCCTGCCTGTCCGTCTCGAAACATGTCCGTGACTTTTCAATTAATTGCTCGATTAATTGCCCAGATATTATTCGTGCAAAGTACACATGCACCACCGTGGAACGTTTTCGCCGATGTCAGCATGAGCTTCGATTTTTCGTGAAATTTATTTCGTCCCTCGGATAAAATCGTGCACCTACAATCTTCGATCGGCGTTTTTGTATCATTTTTTCGCGATATTATTTTCGAAGGGGACGAGAATTAAGTTGTGTACGAATATTTGGCAGATTAAGGGAAAAGATACTGTGGTCGGTTTTAACGAAATGTGAGCTTGAAAGCACTTTTGTATAGGGGATATACCGGTGCTGGTGAACGATTACGAAATTTCCTTTCCGTTGTCAGCGTATCGTCGTAATTAATCTACGAGTGATGAAAGGTTGATACGCTTAATGGAACAATTAATATTCGAGAGTATCGCGACAACTGTTTCACCAGGCTTCGCTATATTTTGTTGCCGACAGATAGGAGAATTTTTGGAAAATTTACTCGAGGTTAGAAATGAAAAGTTTCTCGAAGTATTAATGAATGTGTGCTACTAATATGCAAAAGTGACGAATTTAATGATAATATTCCTAAAATAAACAGTTCGACTTAAAGTATTATATTTCGTCCTCAAAGGATCAAAGCAATTCGTACATTTTTATTAAAACAAATCAGTCTTAAAAAATGTGTAATAATTTCATTTATTAATTAAACCAAAATTATTAAAATATGCTGCTAAAATGCAAAAGTCACGAATTCAATAATAATTTTTCGAAAATAAACGTTTAAATCAAAACTATTCTGTCCTCAAAAGATCAAAGCGATTCATACATTCTTCCTAAAGATATCAATCTCAAAAAATGTATTCAATTACATCGAAATATTTTCAAGATACACATTCACCAAGAAACCATCTCGAGGAATATAAAACCCATTCGTTTGTTATCCATGAGGCCACGCAACCATTTTCATTCCTCACAAACAAGAAAATTTACAAAAAACAAACTTAAGCATAGAAATGAGAAGTTTCTCTAAAAATTAATAAAAGTATGCTACTAAAATGCAAAAATTGCAAATTCAACAATAATATTCCTAAAATAAACGTTTAGACCTAAACTATATGGCCCTCAAAGGATCAAAGCGTTCCATATAGTCTTCCTAAAAAAATCAATTTTAAAAGAACGTCTAATAATTTCCTCTGATACCATTTATCAAATAAATCGAAGCATTTCCACTGAAGTCGTTCTTCGAAGGCGCGCCTTCACCGCCGAAGCTATTCAAGAATACAAAATCCACCCGTTTCTTATCCACGAGGCCACGGTCTGACGGTTGTTTTCAAGCAGAAGGTCCACGTGAGCCGTCCGATCGTCGGGGCGCAGCAGTAAGCACGCTGCTGACCAAAAGTCTGGTTGCAAAAGAAACTCGAACGGCCATTCCTATGGCACGTGGAACGCACGAAAATGCCCGGCTTCTTTTGCCCCGCGACCAAGGGGCCGCGTTTCGCGAACAGCCAGCACGATAAACGGCGCCTTGGAAAAAACTTCGAAGACGATCGTGTACGTGAGACGCGAGACAAACGGCTAATCTTCGACGGATACCCTTCGGCCCTTCGACGGGTTCGTGGCCCCTTCGCGCACCATTGTGCTTATGGCGCTCCCGGACTCGATTTCTGATTTATTCCCCCGGCTCTCTGGGCTTCGTCGCGGATGCGTGTCTCGTACCGGGCGTAAGTAGAATAGGACGTCGCCGGTCAGACTATTAGACAGACGTCGTGTCGTCGCGTTCGACCGGCGCGAGCACAGTTTTTGCCCCTGTTACGTGTTGGCAGAGGTTCTGTGAAGCCGTTGAAACGCCTCAGAACGCGATATGGATTATTGTTCGAGTTGCGAGGAAGCAACAGTGATTAACTCTGAGAGAGTAGAGAAAATTGATGAGTTCTTGTGGGTTCGTTCTTTTTTCTTTTATTTGGGTGAAATGTGGGGGCAAAGAAATATCGTGTTGTTGAGGTTATTTATTATTCACGAGCAATGAATATTTATTTATATATTTGGATTTTTGTTATTTATTTTTTATAATGGTTTGTGAAATATTTGGGAAATTTTCTTATCTCGTGGTGATAATGATTATTTTATTTAGGAAGAGATAAGTATCAATCTTACGGTTTGTTTATGAAAAATTGCAAAATGTGAAGTTAATTAGTTTGGGTCTTTGAATTGGCTTATATGACGATATTTTGGGTCAGAGCATGTGAATTGTAACATTTATATAGCAGAAAAACTGTTTATTAAATTTTCTTCATATCTAATATCCATATTTGAGGATCATCTTTTTACATTCTTCATTAAGAATCATTCATTTTTTAGTTCTCTTCTGTCAAGTGTTCCTCAGTTAAAATTTTGTCTCAGAATTGATATTTTCAAAGACAGAAGGTCTACGAGCCTCCACAAAATTCTTCACCGTACGTTAAAGGTATAATAGACCATTACAAATCCATTAAACACCGAAATAAAAACAGTACCACCGACCAATAAATTTACACGTTATCCCCACGTTAATTTTCAAAAATTTCGTCAATTTTATTCACCAAGCAATCTCCGATTTACTCTCTCCCTACATCAAGAATACCTTCGAGCGCAAAGGGTTAATCCCAGAAGCCAAGAGAACACCGCAACTCCTCTCCCCGAGCTTCCTCCAACTCGCACGACAAGTCTTGAACGAGCGTTCGATTCGGAGAGGAAGTAGAAGCCTTCGCAGCGTTTTTCCACGAGGCCAGATAATCATCGGTTGCTCCGGCACCGTGTCACCGGATAGCACTTATCAGTAAGAGATTGACGGCGAGGCCTGCGAGCGAGGCAGTCACCAACCGACGTGAGGAAGCGTGTGGGGGATACGAGCAACGAGGCATAGAGAGATGCTGAACGGGAGAGAGAGGCGAATGTGGAGGGAATGAGATCGAGCCAGGCCCCCCACTTGCTATTCGCGAGTGGCGGCGCGTGTCAACCTTGCCTTGTCCTTGAAACCACGCGACCGCGACCGTACAACGAGCCAAGTCGCTACGCCGCGCTAGTAGACGCGCTCGCACGGTTCTAGGAATCAGCTGATTGGCCGACAAAAGGGGAATTCCTAGACTATACCGGGGTCCAATCGGATTTTCACGGGCCTGCACGTGCGTCGACTTTGAATAATTAACGCTGTCTGGGATCAGAGTGACTGGAGGGATTTCTTTCTTTCCTTTCTTTTTTTCCTCGGTCTTGGTTCGAGAACCTCCTTGGGTGTCGTCAGCTTGAGCAATCGCTTGCGTCACGATACCAGGCGACGATTTTCGTCCATTGGAGTGACACAAGGCTGATACCCAAGGAGTCTGGACGTTTCGGAGATTGACAATCCTTTGACTTACGATTTTCAAGCTGTTTCACAGCTCGCAGCTTTCATTGCACTCGTTTAGTTGATTCTGGAATGCACATTACTTGGAACGTGCATTCCTTGGAATATACATTCCTTGGAATGTTCATTTTCTTGGAATGTGCATTCCTTGGAATATACATTTTTGTTTAGAGTGTACATTACATGGAATATACATTACTTTTTAATATATCTCACTCATTATCAATTTCGTCTTCCTTCTTATCTCGTTCATTTTGTCCAAATCTGCTGAAATCAATGCTATCATCGTTACTTTCACATAACAAGTTTTCCATTCTTCTAGCCATTCTTATAATTACTCCGTTTACACTACATAAGCTAGATAATGGAGTTGTGGAAAACTAACGACAAAATTACTTGGCAACTTTGCTTCGAGTACTTTGCTTACACAAATCAGCAAAGACTATTCGGACGTTAATATTTGAGCTAGAAAAAAAGTTGTACAGATGTGACTCTTCGTTTCTACTAGGGAATAGAGAAGATCTGTCGATAAATAGCTCGATTAACATCCAATATTTCATTGTTCTTTCTTCACGTTTATGAATTATGCATGGAACAGAAGATATTACCTAATAACGTATTTCACATGTCACTCTTTTCCCGATGCCTTCTATACGTCCGCAACGAAAAGCGCAGAAATCATTCCCCGACCCGTGGCGATACAAAAAATAAAAAACGCGACGGCAGACTAAACAGAATCCTCGGATTTGCGTATTAATCGGCCACATTTGAATAATTACCGGCGACCGTGGCGTCTCTATATCGTCGCAGCGCGTGATTCACAGATTACGTTGGCTGTTTGCGCGACAAAGAACGTTTTTCGAGCGCAATTTTAGCCAACCGACCCGAAGGAAGGCCGTGGTGTGTTGTTCGTTCGGTTCGCGCGAGTGGAACGAAAGAAGCTATGCCAGGGGAAACAAAGAGACGAACGAAATTCCCTCGTCTTCTCTCTCTCTCTCTCTCCTCTAAATCATCGGCTAGGTTTTGTCTTCTCTGTTTGCTTTTTCTTGTCGCGTGCAGTATGGAGATTCACGGATAACGACGGAACGACGCGAAAAGTTGCGTGATTTAATTAAATTACCCCGTTTGCAAAATTATGCGACTCGATTATCATCCTAATGACCACTAGAGAGGTGGCTCTCTCGTCGAGGCTGATAAATAAAAGAACGTTTCCCCGAACTGTGTTCGGGGCCGGGTAAGGTAATTATGGCCACGACTTTCGACACGAAGAAACGATTCCCGTGGTCGGAATTGTCGCCATGGAAATCGTACGTGAGAGGTTAGAGAGAAGAATCCGGTCAGGCCTCGGTATATCTCGTGAGACCTGTTTGTCGGAGATTTTACGTAACAAAAGATAACCAACTCGCCGTCGTGCAGATAACTAGGAATTCTAACTCCCGTGTCTGCTACTTATGCAACCCGATTGTCTCTGTAAAATAGACATTTCTCTATGTAGCTGTACGCTTGCAGGGGGAACTTTGGCGCCCCGAAAATTTCGATTTTTCTAACACTTTGCAAGTTTTAAAGTATGAGGTCATTTTTTTCTGCAACTTTTTGGTTCTTCAGGATGGAAACAGCCCTTAAATGTTAATGTGTATTTCTACTTTCCTATCTTATATAGAAAAAAATTGTTAGAATGAAAATTTAATGCATACTTTTGGACCTCACGAGGAAATCAAAATGTTTTCAAAATTGAAATAGTGGAGAATATTTTTTTACTTAAACAACAAATTTTTAACAATTTCATTGTAAGGTTTTATAGAGCATAAAAGCCTTCAAATTTTCATTATAGCAATTTTCTAATATCTACTATAGTTTTCAAGGTATGCAGGAAAATAGGGAAACACAAATTAACTTTGAGGGAGTATTTTCACCCTGAAGAACCAAAAAATAACAAAAGAAAAAAATTGCCTGATACTTCTATCGGGTTCCTCTACGAACCTACAAAGTTTCAAATCGAATTTTCAGAATGCCAAAGTTCTCTTGTTAATGGCTAGAGGGTCTACTGAATGGCCACAGAGTGATCCAAGGAACAGAATGAAAATTGCCAGTAATCGTCTAGCTGTACATCCTCTCGCTCGTCTCCGTAGGAAGGTAACGCACGAGTGGAGGGAGCTATTTGCTTTGACCTGAGTTCATGATCGAAAATGATAAGGTGCTACCGTGCAACTTGTCATTCAGCGTGTGTGTTGCGTGTGCCAGTGGCGCTTATGCGCCGCAAACTGCTGTGCCAGAGACGCCACCAGCCAGCCAGAGCTGCATTATGGTAATGCACCAGCACACACACACACAGATAGCAGAGTTTCACGCGCGAACGAAATAGCCAGGCAAGCGTCCAAACTTTCTGTCCCCTCCTCTCAATTTCCGGGCTTTCGAAACACTGCAAGCTGGGTCCAGGACCAAAACCTTGCTAATCGTCGAAGGTGAATCTCGCAAGATTTAACGCGAACGTCGTAAAACTTTCTACGATTGAACGAGAAAATCTGTGATGCAACGATTCTAGATGTACGCTGCCGCCGCCGCCATCGCGAGGAACAATAAATACAGCTTCTTGGAAGCTGGGGCTTTCACTGCGCGCGTATATTCTTAGCGTGTGCCGCCGCGTGGCCATCGGAGAATTTTCCGAACCGGAAGCGCAAACAACGCGTCGCTGGAAAATTACTCATAGCCGATTACGAGAGAGAAAGTCAACTGGTGATAATCGGTTATCGTGTAACTGGTCAGGGGAGCCAGCCGAGAGATTAGATTCTCCCATGTTGCCTGATAACTTCTAATCCGTAGTTACCTTCTTTTCATTTCCTTCCACTTTCTGCTTAAGTTCACAGTTGAAAAATTGCTCGAAAAGTAACCATTCGAATCGTGTTGCAGACGCCCTCTATTGACGTTGCACGCGGAAAGGGCACGGGTTTGGAAGGTTGAAGGGCCTTAGAGTGTTCGAGGACCCACCGCCAGGCGGCAGCAGACTCTTGGCGGCCCACGCTTTAGGCCTGGACTCGGTGGAGCCAGGGATTTTGGGCCCCTCGCTGGGCGCTAGGGCCAGGAGGGGGTCCCAAGACCGGTTCAACTCGCTGGAACCTGCGCCAGCCACCTTCAGGTGGCAGCACCTCGACGGAGGAAGGAAGACACCTTCGCTCAGTCTGCGTTCTGAGCTGCACCGGCGCAGATGTTGCATGGGACCCCTTTGAAACGGTACGGAAGGGTCTCGGATCCCTCTTTTGTACGCAAGAATGTGTTATTCTTCTTGTAAAGGATAGGTGTTAGGTTTGTGAATGAAATGTAATTTTGTTGGACAATAAAGGGGAGACTTGGAAGATACCGAAGGTTGATTTTTCACTCTTTAGATGTTAGTTTTAAAGGGAACTTTAGGATTGATAAAATTATGACTTAAGTTAGAAAATAGTTGTAGCTCATCTAGATAATTCTATGGAGAAGGATGTCGGTTTGATTAATGAATGAAGACCATAGTTAAGTTTTGACAAAGAGATCAATATTTATTTGATACTCTTGCAAGTGATAAGCGTCGATCTTTTCTATTCTCACAATAGAGAGGAATTATAAATTTCATTTCTCTGCACTCGATATAAATATAAATTAGGACGATCATACACATACACACAGGCAGTCTCGCATTCTCTCGTCTCTCCCATACACAGGCTTAAAATCTATCATCTACAAACTAGGCGTTTCGCGATTAGTTTTACAAACGTTCCTCGTACTTACAACCACGGTACACGATAATAAAACACACTCGCAATTGGCGTTTTATTTTACTTTACCATTTTTTTTTTTTCTCTATACGTACAAGAAACAGAATGGAAGACCTCGGTGATTCTTGTTGCGTAAGGCACTTAAAATACGATATTCGTCTAGCGGTATGTACAAAAAGGGGAGAGAAAAGGAATCGTGGCGAAGGGAAACGCGAAAATTACTGTTCGAAAGAGCGAGAGAAAGAGAGAAAAGAAAATGTGGATGAAGAAGAGAGTGGGGTGGAGGATGAAACACGCGAATACGCGGCACCATGACGGAGAAAAAACGAAAGGGAAATCGACAAACGCGAAATGGAAAACATTTTCACATTCCTCCGGGAGTTTGCGACGAATACGGTTTAACAATAAAATAGAATAATTATTTACAAGGCACTGTATAAGGCACTGCCTCATAGGCTACTGGCCGACTGCACGCACTCGGGAATATCGAACTCTCACGGGTTCTCCAGAGACGAAGATCTCCTAGCTCGCAGGACACCTTTCACCCTAACAAAACACGACTTCTAAAACGCGATACGTAAAGGAACAATGATCCGTGTTCCGCGGGACTTTTCTCTCGAACGACAAAACCGATCCACGTGTCTTCGATCGTCGACTATCAAAAAACCTTAACATACAATAATATATATATATGTATATATCACTCGAGACTCTTTTGTCCTTTTTCTCAAAATTAATTCACCCGCGAGACCAACTCTGTCCAACTTCTTCTCTCTCTTATTCTGATGATCAACATCAAAGATTCTACATCGAAGGATCGGAACAAGATCCTTGTCTGTCATTCGCCCATTCTTTTTCTTTCTTCTTCTTCGTCTTCTTTACCACGGCCTCCACGGTTTCTCCTC